AGTCGAATGAAATAAGTGAACCAGATGGATCTTACGGGACAAGAGAGAGACCATAATAAGACCTAGGGAATGAGGAATGCGTAACAATATGGCAGACTTTGATCAACATTCCCAGCCCAAAAGAGAAGACGGTAAGAACGACAGCGTAAAGTGTGAAGGGTTTTCATGAATGCCGCTCAAAGGAGCACACCACACTACATCGAAATAAGCACGGTAAAAATTTTAAGTGAAGGCTTGATAGGAAGATATAGGAAATTTGAATATCCCAGGGCAGAAGTGGAGACACCACAACTGTTTAGCACACGTTTGGTCAAAGGATCGGCTTCATTTGTCTCTTTGACGTATTATTGTGTTGCTAAGACTGGTGAGATAAACTGATAATGCAGGCGAAACGTCTGGGAATGTACCACGTGCACAGTCCGACTTTGGAAATGATCATGTATACAATAAACTCCGAACTAGATGAGTTTTATTAAGTCTTCCTACCAATATGACCAAATTGCGAAAACAAGGTCAAACAACCTCTATACAACAAAAGGAGACTGTGACTACACAAAATACCACACCATCTTGGTCTTTATACCTTCGATAAAATTATTTTAACTAAAGTTTATCTTTATTTCCTACTTTTAGCATGAGTCTTTCTGATGATTTTTTATCAAGATTAAACGGGAGTGGTTACAGTTATGGCTGTTACATATATACTAAACAACCGAGATTATTCCGCCTTAAACTATTATTGCAAGTCCTGATTAAATTGGTCTACCTTCTCAGTTGTCAATTCGTTCATATTATCAGATGATGGTGCAAGCTTAGGCTGGAATATTGCATCCATGCAGGACATGTAGTTGTGGTCTTTAACTCTCTCTCGAGAAGATTCCGAGCACAGCGAACGACCACTAAGCTGGCGAAGGGCTGAATAAAAGCTTGAATCGACCTCCTGTAGACAGAGGAAATCCGCTTTATATGAGATAATTTCATGCAAAATCAAAGGGCGACGATAGGCCGCAGCCAAGTAGCGAAGTGGACAGTGCCGAAAAAGCTTGGTCTCAGCCAGCTTTCTTGTGGAGTAGAATTCGGCCAGCAGATTGTAGGTGACAATACGAAGTAGGCCAGAACGAGTATTCTCTGAGGATGTCTCATCTAGCAAAGCGATGCTGGAGGATTAAGGCATGTGGAAATAAAGCAACGCCAGAAAACAAATAGCATAAGATGTAGCTGAATTCAAAAGCAAAATATAAATATAGATTTATATTACTGA